CATTAAAAAGAAAAGCTAATAAAATAAACATTAAAAGATAAAATACATGGATAAAAGTTACAGTGCAATTAAACATTAAAAGAAAAAAGTACATGGATAAAAGTTACAGTGCAGTCTAAGATATGAATAGTTCAATTAAAAGCAGCGACAAAAAGAAAAGTCTTCAGCCTGGATTTAAAAGTAGTCAGAGTTGTAGCGGACCTGCAGGTTTCTGGGAGTTTGTTCCAGATATTTGGAGCATAATAACTGAACGCTGCTTTACCATGTTTAGTTCTGACTCTGGGGACAGAAAGCTGACCAGTCCCTGAAGACCTGAGAGATCTGGATGGTTCATAATTTAGCAGGAGGTCAGAAATGTATTTTGGGCCTAAACCATTCAGTGCTTTATAAACCAGCAGCAGTATTTTGAAATATATTCTTTGACACACAGGAAGCCAGTGTAAAGACTTCAGAACTGGAGTGATGTGATCCACTTTCTTAGTGTTAGTGAGGACTCGAGCAGCAGCGTTCTGAATTAGCTGCAGCTTCCTAATAGATTTTTTAGTGAGACCTGTGAAGACACCATTGCAGTAGTCGAGTCTACTGAAGATAAAAGCATGGACAAGTTTTTCCAAATCCTGCTGTGACATTAGTCTTTTAATCCTAGATATATTCTTTAGGTGATAGTAGGCTGATTTAGTAACTAATTAAGAGGTGGAATAATTCAGGTAGGACTGTGTCGGACATCACTGAAGGCCTAGGTGTGAAATGCACGGCCCGCCACTGGATTCAGAGCATACGATTCGGCAGTTAAGGGGAAAGTTAAAGGGATAGTGGAAATCCGCGAATTTTGGGTTTAACTTATGTATTTGTATTAAAAATAAGCATAATAAACAATTTTTTTTAATTTCATGCGCCTAGTTTCATTTTATTTTCAATTTTACTGCGCCCTCTCAATGAAACGAAATACTTCGGGAATCTTCGGGTGATGACGAGAGCAGAGGAAGACAGGGACAAACAATGGCGGACATTCAATAGCATTTGCATGTGAATAGCCGACCTTTATTATGGTGAATAGATGTGTTTTGTATGGCTGTAGTGCGACAGCAAATGCAGAGAATGGCGTATCGACTCATGCGTTTCCAAGAAACCCAGCCATTCGTCGTCAGTGGGTGAAATTTGTTCAGAAATTTTCACTATAGGTAATACTATAAGACTGTAAGACGGCAATACTTTATACCGAGTATATTGCCATAAATATGATGATTGATTATCAGTAAAAAATTATACGTGACACAACGACATTGGATTAACCTTGAGATGCGTTTTTATTCCGTTGAACACAACTTTTGATCACAAATCAAAAAAGGTAAGACGTAATTATTGTAATATTTTTGGAACCGGATGTTGTTTACTTTCTCTTTTCTGGCTGATAGCTCCAGGAATTCGAGGTCTTACAGTGATGACATTACATGTGTGGAGTCTCAGCTTTAAATCGTATATCTTGTTTGTGCAGTTAAGATAGTAATAAGGGCATTTCCACCGTGTGTTGTGTGTAAAAAAGCGTTAGCATTAGTTAGCATTGTTTCGCTCAATGCTAATTCAAAGGCTTGGTATTACTCTTGTGTTTTTTCTAGCCAACAATTGTTCTTATTGTCAGTTAGCGGAGTTTCTTACCTTTAAAAGGGTATGAAACATTAATAGTTTCATAAATGTTAAGAAGCCCTGAGACATGTGAGAGAAAAAAAAACTGTGGGAGGGGTCCACTGGGGGGACCTTCGGGCTTAACTGGTTAACAATGATTAATATTTGTAAAGGCTACAGGTGATCTTAAGATGCGTGAGCTATGCTTAGGGACCTACCAGTCAAGATTATTTGTGCGTAGGGGTGCATCATCTGGCGCCTGGTCCTGGTCATCCTCGCCATTGCCCATGCCGTGAACCATCACCTCGGGCTCGGGCTCGAACAAATAAGGACGTAATGGTCCATCGTCTGGCTCAATATTCTCACCATCGTCGCTTACTGAACCGGATTCAGATTCAGTTCCTAAAACGACATTTTCGTAGGAAAGCCGAGAGGATGTTTCTGACTCGCTATCATCACTGGATACCTCGTACAATCCTTCTTCTTTGTCTGGTATATTTGCCCTTCCACGTTCATTCTGCATAGACGCCATGGTTTGTTATCGTATCGTCTTCCTGAGTTTTCGTCACTTCCGGTTTGGCTGAGTCGAACATTTCGTTTCTAAAAAACTTCGGGGAAGCTGCAATAAAGTGCTTCTAACATGCGTAAGGCAATTATTATATTTTTTTAATCAGGTGTGATTGTTTTGGTACGTAATTATGCTTGTATATAAGTTAAAACGAAACTATTTGAGGTTCCATTTCCACTATCCCTTTAAGGGACATTTAATTTACAGCGCTGAGCGAACAATCCTCCGTGTTTGAACCTCTTAAATCGCTGCATAGCCGATTTATTTCGACTGGATTATCCCAGAGTCTAAAGATTCTTTATAACACAGTTTCAGATTTGTGAAACCTTTATTCTATTTGTGAAAATACAAGAAGGCATAAAGGCTTGCCCAGCTGGGAGGTGCACTCTCTGATTCTGATCCTGGCCTGCTGCAGCAACCTCAGCCTTCCACCTGTGTTTGTATTTTCACAAATATAATAAAGGTTTCACAAATCTCAAACTGGGTTATAAAGAATCTTTAGACTCTCTGGGATAATCCAGTCCAGATTTGATGAGTGAATATATGAAACGGGCTGTAAGTGCATGAAATGCACGTGGGGTTTTAACATAAGATGGTGTCATATCAATATCATATCGGGAGTTTTATCATGAGAATGCTGTGCGTATGATAATGCATGGATGATCATATCCTGGCTCACACAAGCCTGATGATGCATGGATGATTCCAGTTCTCACCCACACTTTGAACCCCCTGGGTGTGGCTTGCGTCGCATGTATTGCTTGATGCTGTTGAATTTCCCCTTGAAAGGAATCATCATCTCATCCACAGAGTTGTGTTCTTCTGGTACCACCTGCAGGCATTTCTCTCTGAATGTATCAAGCCAGGGTCTGAGTTTCCAGAGTGTGTCTTTCTTTTCCATCTCTGACACTGTCAAGTTGTTAACAAAATGTAATTGTTATGTTTATGCATGGGGTTTTAGGTTGTTGTGTTGTTTTCTGTCCTTTTTCCCCTCTCTGCTCTTTCTCTCCTTCTCTGCAGGACTGGTGTGTGACAGGGGGCGTGGCTGGTATTCTCCTGGCTGCAGATGAGGCACACCTGTTCTCACTTCCCTAATCAACCCTCTCTTTAAGAGCCTGGCCCTCTGTGAAGCTGACAATTGAGCGGCCCAGACCAAGCAAGGAGGCAGAACGTCCCAAATATAACCCGGTGTGGGCATTTATTACAGCATGAACACAATACACACAGCCTCAATCCTGCTGCTGCTGTTCACGTGGGCACAGCCTGCAGCCACCAGGATCTCACACACACTACCAGCCTCTCTAACAGCAAAACCCCAGAGCCTAAATGCCCAACCCAATCAACCCAACAGGACATAGGTGAGGGGGGAGGAGACAACACAGGGCACTAGGTGCACACAATCAACGACAGACATGGGGGAAGGGGAACACTTTTAACATGAAACCAGGAAACAGAGACAGACAAACTAGTTACATAAATTACATTCCCATGCAATGTTTTTAGTGCTATATTACCCGTAACGGAGGCCGAGATCTATGGGCCCAGAGATCACCTCCGTTACACCCTCACTCTGCCAGAGTATTATATGCTGTTCGTCGATCCAGAGTGCTTCTCTACAGCCCAAGCCGAGTTTTTGTTTCTCTTCGCAGTTTTTGTGCAACTTTTTGAGTTTTTGGCCAGGAACGTTTTCCTTCTGTTTGTTTTTGGACCTTTCTGCTACCAGCCAGCTCCCTGTCGACAGTACCTGCCATGGCCTAGTATTATGAATTAAACACCTTGAACTTTACTTGTGTCTGTCTCTGCTTTGGGGTCCAACAATCCAAACGCCACAGTAATGATGTCAACAGATATTGGAATCTGTTGCGTGCCATCACATCAGAAACAGGGGGGTACCGTGTGTCCGTCTCCCAATACATACGGACTCCAGCCATTTCTGGCTTAGCCTATTATCATAATAAAAGGAATACCTACACCCACACATGCAGGTAAACCAGTTCAACAAGTCACACAATGCTGTCTGGCTAATGATAACAGGCTAATTATCATACTAAAAGGGATACATCCAAGTGTCCCAACACATTTCAGAAATAACTTTCTGCCAAAACCAGAGAAGAGTTAAATGAATTGTTTTAACTAATTAACTGATAAATGTGTTTATAGTTTTCCAAAAAATTAATAAATTCCTTATATGTGTGGTGTTAACCTACTTGAAAATAAACCTGTTTCTGATTCTGAACTGATCATTGTGGAGGAACTTCCACACAAAAGCAACCTCTTTGGTAAGAAATGAACAAATAATAGAAGTTTTGGCTATTACAGGCTATTGAAGTGTTGGCCAGACGGGTAATACTGCATAGGCAATTAACAGTACAGGCTATAGAAATGTTGGCCAGGCGGGCACAACTTGCATACTAATTACAACCCTAATATCAATCCTAACAATGGGAAGTGAATATTTAGTAGAGAGATGTGAATTCAAACTGGGAAAATCAAACCAGAGAAGGAAGTTACAGTGATACTTAAATGAGACATTTCTGCAATAATCATAATCTGGTTCACACTCACACACACGTACACATCACTGTGTTTTCAACAAACAAGGAAGAGATTTTTATTTCCTGATGACATGTCACTGTCTCTGAATGTGGCTATTGTTCATGATTTTACATATTGTCTTGTGACTGTGAGAACATTTTGAAATGTATAATGACTCAGCTGGATATCAGCCTGATAGGTGGTGATTGGTTGCTTCAGTATAATGGGAGGTGTGGAAGAGAACTATAAATGATACTGTCCAGGAGTCCCTCCATCACGACTAAGCAGGAGCTTCTTCAGAAAGATTCAGAGAACTCCTACAGGTATGTTACAGTAGAGATAGTTGTGACTGTTTGACACAAGGTGGTTCTGTTTTTGGGAAAAATCTTGTCATTTGTAATGATATTTGCATTATTTCTCAGGTTTAGTCCGACGTCAGAATGATGAACCCTGCTTTCCTCTCTGTGGCTCTGCTGCTGCTGCTGCTGCTTCCTGGGGCCCCAGCTAGAAAGGACTCACCTGAAAGTGATTCACCTGAAAGCATTCCAGCTGAAAGTGATTCAGCTGAAAGTGATTCAGCTGAAAGTGATTCACCTGAAAGTGATTCACCTGAAAGCATTCAAGCTGAAAGTGATTCAGCTGAAAGTGATTCACCTGAAAGCATTCAAGCTGAAAGCATTCAAGCTGAAAGTGATTCAGCTGAAAGTGATTCACCTCAAAATGATTCAGCTGAAAGCATTCAAGCTGAAAGTGATTCAGCTGAAAGTGATTCACCTGAAAGTGATTCACCTGAAAGCATTCAAGCTGAAAGTGATTCACCTGAAAGTGATTCACCTCAAAATGATTCAGCTGAAAGCAATTCAGATGAAAGCATTTCAGCTGAAAGCATTCCAGCTGAAAGCATTTCAGCTGAAAGCAATTCAGCTGAAAGCATTTCAGCTGAAAGCATTTCAGCTGAAAGCAATTCAGCTGAAAGCATTTCAGCTGAAAGCAATTCAGATGAAAGCATTCCAGCTGAAATCAATTCAGATGAAAATATTTCAGATGAAAATATTTCAGATGAAGTTGCACCAACTCCAAGTAAGAGCTGCAGAAAAAATTATTTGTCATGTTTTTATTAAAGGACCACATCAACAAATACTTGAATATCACTGATATGCAATAACAGTTCCTGTCAATATAAAAGTGTGTGCAATACCACTTCTTTATACACTTATTATATGCGGTTAACACTTTATTACTTTACAATTTGTTAACGTTTCCGTCTCGATACTTTTAGTATTTGTTTTTGCTCATTTGTTTGTATTTGTTATAACATGAGCTTGCCTTTGTATTGAATATATACATCTAATCTTTTTCTTCATCTGCACTTTACTTCTGCTGCTGTATAGATATTTCCTTGATACGGGAAGTAGGGTTAGGGTTTCTGATTCTGGCCATTAAAAACAATACATGTTGTATTCCTGTATGTTCTTTATTCTCTTTTTTAGATGATGTACTAACTATGACTTCATTTCTTTCCAGATTGTGTAACTCCCTTCAGCATCCTGGTGTCAAACTCTGTAACCAACGCTCCCAACAAGACCTACAGCACGTGTGTGGTTTACAGAGGAATCTTACTGGGAGGAATGAGGAGACTGCAGGAAACAAACAAAGGGTTTAGGTAAGATCATCACATCAGCTTTAAGCACGAATCGACCCCTTTTTAAATTATAACCAGTGGTGGAATGTAACAAAGAACATTCACTCAAGTAATGTAGTTAAGCACAATTTTGAAGCACTGATACTTGAGTCTTTTGCTCCTTCATACTTCTACGACTCTTCTTACTTTTCACCATAAAATGTTTAACTCACCACTGTTTTCTCTGTCAAAAGCAATTATCCAAACAGATATATAATGATGTTGTGTATTCCATGTCCTTCATTGAGATATCTCCTGTCGTCCCTGCAGGTTCACCTACACCGAGGATCCCAACTACGGCCCATATCTGCAGAGTGTGAATGGTTTGAAAGGCAGTACAAAGGACCGCACTTACTGGGAGCTGCTGGTCAAAAAAGCCAACGAAACCATCAGACTTAATGTTGGTGAGTCAAGCTGCTTTTTGTCTTTTTAAAGTCAACTTCCACTATCTTATTCAAAATCAATTTATATCATATTTTTGTTTGCAGGTATTGGAGCTTTCATTCCGAGTGAAAATGACCAAATCATCCTGAATTTTAAGGAGTACTAAAGGATCCAACGCCACTGGAAATCATCATAAGATCAAAGCCAGATTCCACTGTATGATTATGTATTTCATACATTCAGATATAAATAACAGCTTGATACATAACCCCTAATGTAAACAAGAGGGGTTCGCATTACGATGTCTTGACTTTTTGATGGTCTCATGGGAATCCACCTTCACTTTAAATGTTCTGCTTGTAATCAAATATTTCTTCTTTCCTATTACTGAGGCAGACATAACACTATACTCACTTGAACATGCTTTGTGTGAATCTTTCTGTACCAGGAAACAAACAATTTCCTGGTAAAACATCATGCACACCATTGTTGGCATTCATCCTGTTAAACATTTCCTAAACAATATGAAGGTCACCACTTACAGGTGGCAACACAATACTGATATATAATTGTTGGTTAATGTTTGGGTAATTAAGGAAACTGTCTTAGGAGTCAGTAACAGAATACGATGCAAGTGTAACAGCATGTAATGTGTCTACTTACTGTAAGTCTTTGTTAATGTTAAGACTCTTTCTATTTCTTAATTGATCAAGAATAAATGTAGTTATTCGTTCATAGAAGACACATTTTCTGTTAAAATAAAGTGTTTCAAGAATAATAATTGTGGTGTCGTTGATACTATTTGTATAGATGCTACTGTTCAAGTCATTTTTGGACAATACTGTTTTTCTATTGTCGAAATGACAGCAAAAAGGTCTTCCTGTTTTTCGGTCATATAATATTATATCCTTTTAAAAACTTATATTGAGCTTTGATTTATTTCAGGACAAATTCTTGTTTACACACTGCCCACTAAACATTTAATTTCAAACCATCATCAAAATACCACATATAGTACAACCAGCCACACAAGGGTCATTTAAACATGAGGAACAGCTGATTTAATATAAGTTGTGTAAACTCAACCTCCAGGAGTGGGTAAGAAATCTATATTCTAAGGTAAAGAAGCTTCCTTCACTTTTAGAAATGTTGACAGAAATGCAATCGACGCTCCGACAACAATCTTACTACTGTAAGCAGGTAGAATCAGGAAACATAGAAACAGGAAAAATAAAGGTAATGCAATAAACTGTCAGTATTTTGAAATTGGTTATGCTATGTTTAACAATATATTGCTCTTGGATAGATAACATATGCTAGTGTATTAGTTACGCATTTATACTATTCTTTAAAGAGGCCCTTTTTGGGGTTGTCCCTTTCCTTTGGTGTGTTATATAGGTTTTTGGGCATAATGACATCACTATGTAACACTCTTGCTTCTATAGGCTAGCGCTTCTACCGATTGATGTTGATAGGCTAAGGGGCAGGACATCTCTAAGCGGTTGATCATTCACAACAGAGTCTGCCAGCTAACCAATCAGAGCAGACTGGACTCTGGTTTCAGACAGAGGGTGAAAAGAGGTGCTGCAGCACAGGCAGAATGAAATAAATAAAGAGCTTTTTGAACATTAAAGCATGGAGGCATGTCCCAGTAGAGACACTACATACCAGAGGTGGGAGTAAGTCCTACATGTGCAAGTCATGAGCAAGTCTCAAGTCTTGACTTACAAGTGTCAAGCAAGTGTCAAGTCACTGTGGTGAGAGTCAAGCAAGTCAAGTCAAGTCATTGCTCAGGTCAAGCAAGTCAAGTCAAGTTATACAAAATTCTGATGAATAAGCCCAGTTTCCGCATTTCCGCATCAGTTAAAAGACAGTGGTTATGAAAATGGATTCAACCCACACTATGATCTTCATTACATACACAGTTAATCATTTGAAATCTAATTTAGACCGATGACAATCATATTAGATTCATATTAACCCTAGAACTGCAGACAATATAGCTAGGACTCAATCAAAAAGTCTGTTCAAAAAGGCAGAATTCCAGGTAAGAAAATCATATATGGCATTTGCCATTACACGTATTTAATTAAAATGTATGTTAACATTAGAACCACCAACAGTGTCAGCACCTACATAGATATCATTTTCAAATCATTTAATTTGTTCCTCTTCATAATTTCCTTATAAACTAAGAAGGACGATTTAAAACTCACTTAATTGGGTTAATTTAGAAATTGCTTCAGTTTTTCATCATAACAGATCAAAAAGTTCAGATTCATTTTACAATAAATCAAGCAGTGGCGGCCGGCCCATAGGGGCGCCGCCCCACCTCTTCCCACATACAAAAAAATATATTAAAAAATATATTAGATTTAAAAATTTAAAAAAGAAAAATATATATATTTTATATTTTTATTTTTAATGAACAAGGTAAATATCATACAATTGGTATCAGTAAAATGTATAATCTTCAATAAAATCTCGTTTAAAATTGTGTTACGATATCTAAAGTTACTGATAAGTCACATGTTTCCTGCCTGGCCTTGCCCGTGGCATTAGTTAATCATTACCGGGCGCCGTGCAAGGAGCCCCGGAGCCAAACAGCAGCAACCAGCACGTTGCAAAAGTCTCAATAGTAAACTGTGCCGCCGAAACATAATTTCAGCCAATCAGCGCCGTCAAATATTTTGGTCACGAGGGCGCTCACGTTGGCGCCCACGTTGCTTACGTGCGTTGACGTGAGTTGTTTTTTAGACTCGTGAGTGACCAAGGTGACGCAGTAGTTGGATGAGAATGGCTTTGTGTGCAGGTGGAGTCGCCGGACCTCGGTCCGCACCCAATTCCGTGCAAGAGCTACTCTCCAATCCTTTCGAAAGGAGAAGTTTGGGAGATAAATTGATACTTAAAGACCTTGGACCGGACCAACCCGATTTGTATATATTGCAGCAAGCTCGTAAAAAAGACAAAACGTATCAACGAGGCTTCTCACGTAGCTGGTACACCAGAAAGGTATGGCTAGCTGGATGCAAACGGGTAAATGCTGTCTTTTGTTTCCCATGCTTGGTCTTCAAACAGCCGGGGACAGATACGATCTGTTCAGAAACTAGACAAAAGTTAAACAAGTACAAACCACAGACTGTCTGTGTCATGGAGAATACAGTCGCTGGTTTATTTATGTCTGTATAGGCCGTTGTTGTGAGTGTGGACGGTCGGAGCATATATAACGTTAGCTTAGCCAAGCTGCATTTAGAAAACACGCATTTTAAAAGGGTTTTTCGCCTGCCGTCTGTCTGCAGACTTGTCAAAGCATTAATTCATGGTTTTTACTAACCGTATCAGTATGTTGTTAATTCGGCATCATTTTGAAACGGGTATTACAATTAAATCACGGTAAAATATATTCATCTTGTTGTAGTTGTAGTCCCCTTGCCAGCGATTCTCTCTCTAGTTTAGCATACTCAGCCCGACTCAGCCTGGTTGTTCCTGGCCCTAGAACCACGATTTGATGGGGCCAGAAAAACTGTGAATTAGGACCCGCTAGCCGTTACTAGGCCAAGTGGAAACGCAACCAAAAACGGGCCCCGCACAGCTCGGCACGCTTAAAGCGAGCTCCGCTCTGCACTGGAAACGCGCCATTACATCACCAGAAGTCCTAATTTAAGGGGTCATTTCTCAGAAAAAAAATGTGTTTACTCACTATATCAACAGCCCCACCAAAAATATTTCCCACCAGCCGCCACTGAAATCAAGGAATGATGCACTTCTACAAACAAAAACAACATAATTAAAACATGTAAACAAACTACTAAAAGTAGATGAACTACATTATTCAAAAGTGTACAGTAACTTCTGATAATAACATAGGGGAAATAAACGAGGCATCTCTTTTCCTCTCTCCCTCTCCTGACAGCCCGTCAGTATCAGGGTTAGTCAAAATGAATCCCTTGGCGGTTCTAGTGTTCATTTACCGTTTTGTCTTCTCTTTGCAATGCTTAATCGATTTGAAACCAAGTCTAACGTAGCTTAAATTTAGCGTTAGCTTTCTAACACAACACATTCACGCACCTTTCTCTGTGGGGTTTTTTGTAGTGACGAATGAAGTTGGATGTTGTGGTGGTCGTGTCACTGATCTTTATGCTGCAGACCCTGCATACCGCAGTTCTCTTCTTATTACCGTCATCGACAAAATAATCCTTGAATCCAAACTTCACTATTTTTGGAGTAAAACTAGCCGCTGCCATGTTAACTGAGACTCCTGCCTTCTAGTGGGTTGCCAGATTTGCGCGCATTGCGCTATAATCACGTTTTTCTCTACAAAAACAAACGCAAATATTTAATTTTAAACAGTCAAGTCCTTTCAAGTCATCTATCTCAAGCTTAAATCAAGTCTCAAGTCATGAATACCAAATCAAAGTCAAGTCAAGTCTTTTATCAATGTTAGTCAAGCAAGTCTCAAGTCAACAAATATGCAACTCGAGTCAAGTCATGTGACTCGAGTCCCCACCTCTACTACATACAAATATGTACCTGAAAGGGAACGAAATGATGTCCTCTTTAAACTGCAATGCTGTTCATGCCATTAAAGCAAATGTAATTGAATTGAAAGGACAAGATAAAGAGACACATCATTAACACATGGACTAACAAAATCACCAACTCTATAAAACAAAGGGTACACTTTTTTTTGGGACATTTCCAAAGATGGCTTACTGTAGAATCACATTGTTGGTCAAAATGTTTGAGATAATTGAATGGAATTCCATTTGTGATGCTCATTGTATTACAAAATGTGCTCTAAAAAGTTGATAGGCCTTTTGTCAAAACACGTTGAAGCTGACACTTTTTTAAATTTCCCTTTGAAAAACATTAAAAACAACAAAAAAAGGAAATAAAAGGAATGACAACACATGAATATTTGTATTAGGATGATATAAGCATTTTATACAGAAACATTTTGTGGGGTTGATCACTTATTGTCCAATCAATTCCAACAGTGGCTGCTGAATCTTCACCACTTCGAAAATGTCAGAATGATTTGCTCATTGGCTTTGGGAATGTAACATCCGATGCCTATACAAAATAACGAGACATAAAGTGTATTATAATCTGATTTAAAGTAAAGTCACATCTTAAGAAAGGGTAATCGACAGACATATGACTGGTAGACTTACCAACATCCGGTATTATGACTTTACCATCTGCAGTCTTGACCATTAGCTGCCAGTATGTATGGTCTTTATCATTTCCAGCCACCCCATTCACACTTTCCAGGTACGGGCCAAAGTTTGGATTATCTGAGTATGTGAACCTGCAGGACCAAACAGAAGAACAATTGACAACTGTAGAGGAAACTTCTGTGTAGCTATGCAGTGGGAGTCACCGACTCAGGAAGGAGACACGGTAGGAGCAGTAGCTTTGATGTCAAACACATGATGGTTTATTTGGAGTTAACGGCCGGAGGATTCACATCACAAGTCCAAGAGTCAGAGGTTCTGACTTCACGGTAGAGTTGCCACGTCAATTCTGGAGAGCCTCTCTCTTGCCAGCCCATCTAACTGGTTTCGCAGAGAGTAAACAACATATTTGAGGAGATAGCCTAAACAGTGTGGGAACACAGAGCTACTTGCCTCGGACACTTATGACCTCGAAGATTTTACCTTGGAGTCCACAAATACAGAGAAGGAAGTGTCCCAGTGTACCCACAACACAGACCATCTGTATCCCAGTATTGACCGGTCACAGAATGGGAACAATAACATTATTGGCTAAGCCGCCTGT